CCCCCTCCCCCCGGGAGTGAGCCCCCCCCGTGAGCCCCCCTCCCCCCGGGAGTGAGCCCCCCCCGTGAGCCCCCCTCCCCCCGGGAGTGAGCCCCCCCGTGAGCCCCCCTCCCCCCGGGAGTGAGCCCCCCGACTGGAGGGAGCAGGTCGGGCAGGTCACACCCACGGGACTTAGGTGCTTGTCCTGGGGTCTGTCCTGTCCCGCTCGCGGCTCCTGTGCCGCGTCCCTTCGCCGGCACACGCGTCCTCTGATGTCGGGACGTGCCGCTGTGCCCTCGGTTCCGTACCACACGGGGCGCCCGTGTCTGGGGACAGCTCCGTAGCTGTGTCCCAGGGCACCGGGTCCCGTACCAGAGGCCCGGCCGTGCAGGTGTCCCCAGGCCTGGTGACAAATTACCCAAGTGGGGGCTTCGAAGGGCAGGAGCTCGCGCCCTGCTCTGGAGCCAGGAGTCCAAGGCCGGGTGCCCGAGGGCCGCCCCCCCTCCAAGGGCCTGCAGGAACCTCCTTCCTCCCTCTTCCGACTCCTGGTGGCCCCATGCCCTCGTCACCGGCCACCTCTGTGTGTGTCTCTTGCAAGGACGCCTGCCCTGGGTGGTCCGGGGGCCTCCTCTTCAGACCCGTAACCGGTCACATCTGCAAACACCCTTTTCCCGAAGAAGGTTTCGTTGGCAGGTTCCGGGGGTTCAGATGTGGACGTGGGTGACACGTTGGCTCCAGGCTTCTCTCCTCACAAGTGTCCTCCCACGTTCAGACCCTCTTTCCAGACAAGAGCCCTCCTCTTGGTGGCGGGACTGCTGACCCCGCCCCCAACAGGGCCCCTGTGGCGCGTGGCGGGGCTGCCTGAGTGTCCTGGAGCGCCCGTGACAGGGCCCCAGGCCGGGGGGCTAAAGACGGCGGGTGTCCACCGTCCTGGGCCGGAAGTGCAGAGCGCAGATGTGGGCGGGGCAGGTCCTCAGGGGGATCTACGCAGCCCCCGCAGCCCCCGGAGGGTCCCCAGTCCTTGGTCTCCCTTGGCCTTCTCCCTGCATGCGTGTCTGCATCTTCTCCCTGTCTTGTGAGGACCCTGGGCCTTGGCCGGGCCCCCCTCCTCCAGCCCTGAGGACCCTGGGCCTTGGCCGGGCCCCCCCTCCTCCAGCCCTGAGGACCCTGGGCCTTGGCCGGGCCCCCCCTCCTCCAGCCCTGAGGACCCTGGGCCTTGGCCGGGCCCCCCCTCCTCCAGCCCTGAGGACCCTGGGCCTTGGCCGGGCCCCCCCTCCTCTGGTACCACCTCATCTTACCTTGAGTACATCGCAGATGCCTTGTTTCCAAATGAAGTCACAGTCATAGGTCCCTGGGGTTAGGATGACAGCCTGTGTTTTCGAGGGACACAGTCTGCCCGTAATAGGGGCTGATGGGATTTAAGCCATGTGCCTGGGCCCTTCTGACCCTGGAGCCTCCCCCCACGCCCCTCCTCTGCTAGCAGGGGTGGGGTGAGCCTTGTCCTCTCACCGGATCCTGAGGCCCAGGCCTGCAGATGCTGTGCCACCGTGGACTTGCGGGGTGCGGGGCTGCACGCCATCGTGGCGGGGGGTGTGCTCGGTGATGCCCGGTGCCCTCAGGATGGGGCCCTGACCTGCGGCCCACCCCTGGGGACCCCAGTCCTGTGGCAGAAGTGGCCCGTTCCCACACGTGTGCCCCTCCCTCCCTCGCAGCTCTGATCAAGTACATACGGCCGGTGTTCGTGTCCCGGTCGGACCAGGACTCCCGCAGGAAGACGGTGGAGGAGATCAAGAGGCGGGCGCAGTCGAACGGGCGGTGGCCGCAGGTAGCGCAGTCTCGCTTGCCTTTTGAGCAGATTTATCTGGAAAGACGTGAACTTAGAGGTAGGGCTGGGCGGTGGGGACCCAAAAGGCCAGAACCTTCCTTCCCGGGGGGCTGGATTTGTTTGGTTTCATTTTATTTTTGAGCGTGTGAATTCAAGATTGTGTTAATCTGAGGTACTTTGGGTCCTGAAATTTTAAAAGTAAAAGATGTAAGGAGACCACTGTCACGTGCATCTCGAGTTCCCAAAGCCTCTGTGTTGAAGTGCGTCTCCCCGGAAGCTCTAAGCGGTCAGAAGCCACGCCGCCGCGCTCCAGCGGTAGCGGCCCGTGTCCGCGCAGCACAGGGCTCCCAAGGGCACGCGCTGCCCAGCTGCGTGGCGCCCACGCCCATGTTGGCCGTCGGGGGCCTCGCTCATCCTGTGTGTCTTCCAGCCGACACCAAGGGGCTGGGATCCACGGGACTCTCTGGGTTCTGGATGCTCAGAAAACACTGGAAGGCCTGGCTCCCAGGACCCTGTGCCTGTGGGCAGCCCCAGGGGCCATGACCTCCAGGGTGCCTTGGCTGCTGCCCCACCGTTGAAAGCGGCTGTGGGGGGGGGAGTTTAGTTCGTATCATGTTGCTGGGGTGTGAATCCGAGTGATTGGAGCTCTGGGGGGGCCGTGTGTAACCCCCGTCTGTGGGTGTTGCTGGTCGGCCCAGCCCGCGTCCCTGTGGGCGCGTGCTCCGTGCTGGTGGCAGTCCTGTGGGCCGGCGCTCAGCACCGGGGCCTCACAGCAGCTGTGAGCACCCCCTTGTGAGCACACCCCTTGCACGCTCGAAGGAGTCCCGTGCTGTGATGCTTCCAAATTTTAGCAGAACGTCCACTCGGAAAGGAAGTCCGTGGACGCCTTCGTCTTGCGTCCCTCCTGTTTCAACAGAGCAGATTAAACATGCGAAGTAGAAGATAGATTGTATTCTGAATTGTGTCTCAAGGTTGACTTTTTCTTTTCATTTCAAGATCATGATTTTTCCAGAAGGAACGTGTACCAACAGGACCTGCCTAATTACCTTCAAGCCTGGTACGTAGTTTTCTTTTCTTTTTTTAAAAATTTTTTAACATTTTATTTATTTTTGAGAGAGAAAGAGTTAGAGAAAGTGCAAATGGGGGAGGGGCAGAGGGAGAGGGAGACGCAGGATCTGAAGCAGCTCCAGGCTCTGAGCTGTCAGCGCAGAGCCCGACGCGGGGCTTGAACCCACCAACTGTGAGTTCACGACCTGATCTGAAGTCGGACTCTTAACCGATGTAACCACCCAGGCGTCCCTGTAGTTTTCTTAATTCTACAAAGAATGTGCTCCCACATCGCCTCCCACATTTCCCACAAAAGCGCCCCGGGCTGGAGGGGCTCCTGGGTCCGCTTCCTGCGGGACGGAGCTGCCAGCCCGGGGTTTTCCCGAGTTCACGGCCGGCAGCCGCGTCCAGGCGCCCTCAAGACTAGCTACCAGGAGGCGAGGCAGAAAAGCTCACGTTAACCCCGAGGGTGGCGTGAGGAGCGCCGGCGCGGGCCCGTGGCCCGGGACCTGAGACACCGCCCTCCTCCGCAGGTGCGTTCATCCCGGGGGCCCCGGTCCAGCCTGTGGCGCTGCGGTACCCAAACAAACTGGTAAGTGTTTTCCCAGGGCCGCCATTTACCCGGAAGTGAGAATCTGAAGGTGTTTCTTGCGCCTTTCCCAATCTCCCGACGTTCCGGAACACTTCGGTTCTGGAACGTGAAGTCCTGACTCCGTGGGTGGTGCCCTTCCTCCCTGACGGGTCCTGACGTTTTCATGGGAGACAGCGCCTGCCCCCCCACCCGCCCCGGCCCCGTCCGCAGTAGCCTTTGCTGCCCGTGCAGCCGGGAAACGTTAACATGAAGCGTATTTAACTTCTGAAAGGCTGGAGGCTGCGGGAGGGAGAGCAGCGAGGGGACTCGGTATTCACACCTTTCCTGGGCGTCTGGCTCCGGGCAGAGGTGTCTGCTGCCAGGGCAGAGCAGAGCAAAGGCAGGCGCGTGTGGCGCTCAGAGCGCCTGGGTGGGCTTGACCCAGCCCAGGGCGGCCGGGAGCCCGGACGAGGCCTCGGCAGCTCCCAGGCACGGCCCCCCACGGCCCCCGCTGCCACGTCTGTCAGAGCAGCTGCAGCTGTCCCTTCCCCAGGGCCCCGGGGACCTGCTGCTCGCGTCAGGGGCTTCCCCTCGGGCGCTGGTGCTGCCCGCTGCGCCTCACTTAGCCATGACCCCCGCCGGGGGCACTTCCTTGTCCCTCGAGGGGCGTCGGGCTCTCCTGGCCAAGACCGGTCCCCAGGGCCTCGTGTGCTTGGGCCTGCCTGGGCGCTGGGTGCCCTGGGTGTGTCTTGCCGGAGGCCACGGGAGGCGGGCTTACTCCGCTGAGCTCTCTCTCTGTCCCGGTGTGTTTTCATCACAGCAGAAAGGAAACTCCGCAGTCACAGCACAGTGGGGTCTGGAGATGCTGGTGTAGATTTTGGCAGGATTATGGGCAACATCTGTGGGCATGAGGCACCTGGGGTCCCGGGCTTGCACACCAGACCCCTTGCCTGCGGCCTCAGACAGGCATAAACGGGGCTCCCAGAGCGGTCAGCGAGCAAGCCTCAGAAGCAGTAGGCACACGCGCTGGCAGGTGGCGCAACCTTGCGGTGCGTACCTGCACAGGCCTGTGCGTCAGCCGTGTGTGAGAGTGAGGCGCTCCATCGGCAGCGTGTGGAATTCTAGGTTTTCCACTTTTTAAGTTTGTTTCCTCAATGTATTTCAAGCAAGTTGCCTTTCTCGGCTTCTTCTAGCAGCATTCGGCGTGGCTGCTTTGCACTCTCTCCTCTTGGCCTGTGTCGTCGTCTTCAGCTGCATAATTTCCGGGAAAGCCACCACTGACCGCCCTGCGCCCGGGCCTAAGTGCAGGGATGGGGCGGGCCGGGCCTGCGGCCGCAGAGGCCCCTGTGGCGGGTGGGTTTCAGGAGCCCCTGGGAAGCGAGCGGGTGGCGTCGGGACTTCAGAAGAAGGAAGCCCACATGGGGGACCCGCGTCAGGGTAGAACCAGGGTGTGCGTCCTCTGGCGCCCCCACCCGGCTGCTGGCACAGCACCTAAGACCGAGGGTGGGGTGCTGGGAGCGCATAGGCCCCGCTGGGGGGGTGTCTCGCCCCTTCTCGCGGCCGGAACCTCGGGGGCAGGGGTAGGTGTGGGTTGGAATGAGCCTCACGTGGCGGGGCGGCTCACGAGGCCCCTGGACCGAAGCCGTGGGGACAGTGACCGAGGGGAGGCCACGTCTCAGGTGGACATCAGGTTTGCTGGCCTTGAAGCCGTGGGGTGGGGGGCGTGTCCAGAGTGGCCCGGAGGCGATAGCCTCCCACCAGCCCCCAGTCCGCGTAGACTGGGGAGACAGGGGACTCCAGTGTCCCGGTGAGAGACTGGCAGGTCGAGGCCAGGGCAGAGGGCGGGCGCACCGTGGAAAGAAGGGCCCACGCGGGTCGGCTGTGATTCATCCTGCTCCTTTCTTGCCCCCAGGACACCATCACGTGGACGTGGCAAGGACCCGGAGCGTAAGTGAGACGCAGCGCGCTCTTGTGCGTCGGGGGCTGCTCGTGTGGCCGGCCTGCGTCCTGGTCGCTTCCGCAAACGTGGGAACTCGCACCCGGGCCCCTCTGCTGTTTGACAGCAGTTACGTTCTGCCCCCTGTGCAAACTGGGCGTACAAGCCTGGCGTGGCTCCCACTCCTGGGTTCCAGGACCTGAGTCCATTGTGGGAAAGTACCGGCAGTGTCTTTCCTTCCCACTCGTGCCTGTCAGTTCCGTGACCACCGTCACATCCTAGGAAGTTCCTAGGAAGGGGACGGGGGAGCCGCAGGGATGGGGGGGGAGCCGCGGGGAGGAAGGGGACGGGGGAGCCGCAGGGATGGGGGGGGAGCCGCGGGGACGGGAGAGCCGCGGGGACGGGGGAGCCGCGGGGATGGGGGGGGAGCCGCGGGGCGGGGGAGCCGCGGGGACGGGGGAGCTGCGGTGACTGGGGGGGGAGCCGCGGGGACGGGGTGGGGGGAGCCGCGGGGATGGGGGGGAGCCGCAGGGACGGGGGAGCCGCGGGGACAGGGGAGTTGCGGTGACTGGGGGGGGAGCCGCGGGGACGGGGTGGGGGGAGCCGCGGGGATGGGGGGGAGCCGCGGGGACGGCCCTCCCCTCAGACGGGCTCCATGACAGCAGGCCTCCGTGGCGCCAGCATTGGAGCGGCAGTTGGGCAGCAGAAGTGTGGGTGGTGGAGCCAGGTCCCCGGGCCTCACGAAGGCATCAGGAACGGGGGCTGAGCAGGTGCCCTGGAGGGCGGTGGGGGCGGGTGTTAGCGCTGCTGAGGCCGGAGCATGGAGGGTGGTGGCGAGAAGCAAGAGGGAAGCCCGGAGAAAGGCAGGGGGCTCCTCGGGCCCTGGCGGCCGGGCTCGGGTCGGGGTGAGGGCCGGAAGGCGGGTGTTTGCAGGGCGAGGAGGGCAGCTGTCCACCGCGGAGGGTGAGCGATGGCCCAGGGACGGGGACTCCACATGGCTCCCCACGTCCCAGCTTCGGCAGAGAACAGGGTCTAGAGCTCAGGGCCTGGGCCCGGGGAAGTCCGCCTCACCTGGGGGCAGCCGGGTGGGGGGCAGGGTGGGAGGACCAGTGTCCTGAGTGGATGACACACGGGAAGTGCGGCGCCATCGAGTAGGGACAGGAAGACCCTGCTCAGTAAAAGCCCCCCCCCCCCCCACCGCTGCGGAGCCTCCGGTCCAGGCTGCCCGAGGCCCAGCCTCCCCTGAAGGAATTAGCTGCCCGGGGGCGCCCTCTGCAGGGGAAGGGCTTGTGGATGGAAAGTAATTTAATTAAACGAAATTGAGAATTCTTTAACCAATACTGTGAATCTGTCTGTTCGTTTCCAAGGTTGAAAATCCTGTGGCTCACACTGTGTCAGTTTCACAATCGAGTGGAGATTGAGGTTGGTATGGACGCGGCGTCCCCTGCAGCATCGCGTCGGGCTTGTGAAGGGCCGGGATCGTGGGCTGGCGCTAGGGTCCTTGGAGGTGCCACGTCTGGTCGTGTTCGCCCGTGCAGATGCGGCGTTAGGCCGCCCCGCGTCGGGACCATGCGAGGGCAGCGGGGGTCCGTACCAACAGATGGTGGTGCAGCGTCTGCACGGCGGGGGATCTTACTGGGGTCCGTGTGGACCGTGTCAGGCAGCGTCACCCCGTCCGCACACATGCCACGTCCTGTTGGTGCTGTGCAGACGCCCCGTGACCGGTTGCCCGTGTGGGCGTGCCGGGTGCTTGCAGGCACCACGTTACGTTGGAATCTAGAGACGCGACTTAGAGAAGATGTGGGCGTCTCCCTAGAGTGTTACTTGGTGTCGTGGTACGTGCCATACAGTGTCACCTGCTGTCTGCTCAGCCACGGTACTGTATGTCACCTGTCTTGCTTGAAGTCTTCCCACTTCTCTCTGCTCTTTAAAGGTACTTCCCCGTGGTTTCCGTCAATCACGTTGTGTCTCTTGCGTGATTTTATCCCATTCAGGGAGGAATTTAAAAATCAACAGCCGTCTTTTATTACAGTTACTGTAGCTCAACAGCGTGTAAAGTTGGCGCATATGCACTGAGTTACTTTTTGGCATTTTCACATGGTGCTGATCCTGGCGAATTCACGTGGCACATCTCTCGTACGCCATTTCCTGTTCGATACTTGATCAGATCGCATAACCCGTCGCCCGGCTTGCAGCCCGTTGGGTGTCCCAGAGTCATGGCCCCCATTCCCTCAGCGCTAGTAAATAGTCACATTCGTGCAGCCTCCACATTTCACCCAAGTGCGTGAGGAATGGGGTTTCCTTTTTATGAAGGGAATCGACAGGCTAGGCCTGCACTGTAGCCAAAGACGCCCGTTCACGGTGGGGAGGCTGTGACGACTTCCGGTAGAAGTTGTCCAGTTGCGCTGAACTTAGGGACGAGCCTGGCTCTCAGCCGGCTTCCAGGGTTGTCACTTCAGGAGAACAGAAGCCACTTAATCACAACAGGCTGAGCCAAAGGGCCCCTGGCCCGCGTCCTGGCGTCCAGGAAGCAGCCGTGCGGGGGGCTCAGAGGACTGTCCCTCCAGTGCGAACTGCATTTCAGGCCTCGTTTCTGATGTTCAGAGTTGAAAAGACACGATGACTTTTTGAAGTCGCTCTAACTGTCTTCACTGGCGCCATGCTTACAGGTGTCCGTGAGCGCCTGTTGTGACTCCACGGAGTGGAGCTCACGGTGGGTTTTGGGGCTGTCCCCACACTGTCAAACGTCTGCGGGAGAGAGAGGGCGCAGCCGTCTGCCTCCTCCCACGGTGGGGTGGGCAGCAGTGTGGGACTCACTCATTCAAATCGCTGTGTAAGCATCGCTCACGTGAATGCACACGTTCGTGGGACGATTTATTATAACCTGAACACACAGCGGACGTCAAACCTCATCGTCTATCGTGAGGAAATAGTGCGTTGTGTTATGCCCACCCCATGCGGAGGCATCAGGAGAGGAAGGCCCACGAGTGACCCTTCTGCATCCAAGCAGGAAGCTTCCATGGGAAATTATAACCCAGCGCCGGCAGGCGGGGGGGGGGGGCGCCCCTGTTGAGGGGTGGTGGTTGTCAGCGTTCACACACGCGTGTGAGTGCGTTCATGTGCGTGCACATGCTCTGTGACCACTTTGAAGAGATTCTAATGGAAAGTGCCTTGACCTTAACTGTGTCACACTTGCGACTGTCCCCCCCGGTGGCCGGGTGATGGCCGTGAAGTAACGCAGCCCTCTCTCTGCTCAGTTCCTTCCCGTGTACAGCCCCTCGGAGGACGAGAAGAAGGACCCCGCGCTGTTCGCCAGCAACGTGCGGCGCGTCATGGCAGAGTGAGTGCCCTCCCTCCCCGCGCGCCCCCGCCACAGGCTGGCACTCCCTGGTGCCCTCGTCGCTGCCCGACGATTGCGCGGGCCCCGCACCTGCAGCTTCCTCCTGAGCGCTGGACACAAAGTAGCCAGAAACCTCGGGGAGACTGGCGTTTGCAGACGCGATGAGCACGTGTTGGTGCACGTGGCCCGTGGGGCGTGTTGTCCACTCCGTCACACCCCCGTCTCTGTCGGGTCATGTTGCTGCCTCCACTTCTCGTTGCTTCACGCGGTGAATTTCAGGCGTGTGGGGAGGAGCCGCTCACGCGCGAGGCGGGCACACAGCCTGGGGCCCGCAGGGGCGTCCTGTCTGCCGCCCCTCCGTCCTGCTCGGGGAGCCTGCTAGCTTTCCTCCTCTGTCTTCCCACGTCACGTGTGGGAGCTGTACACTTAACCCCTGAGATAACGAGCTTCCATGACTGCCGTGTGTGCCCTCGGGAAGTTTCTACTTCCGTTTCCATCCCCTTCCTGGCGGTACTGGGGGGGCAGGGGGGGCGTCCGCCTGCCCCCCACCATGTCCCGTCTTCTCTCTCCTCCTGCCCTCTACCCCCAGGCAGCAGGGGCTGCCTCTCCGTGGCCACTGAGGTACTGGGAGGGGTTCTCAGAGCCCAGGGGTTCCTTGGGCCCCGGCGGGAGGTCTGCGTGGCCCCGGAGGGGTGTTCACGGGCGCTGCTGCCCAGCTGGCGTGGCCATCTCCTTACTGCACACAGACCAGACCCCCCAGCAGCATACCCTGTGGGACTGTGCTGAGCCTAATCCTACCCTGAACCCCGCGTGTCCACGTGCCCCTCGGAAAGCCGGGTGCTTGGGACGGACCCACCATCGGCACCCCGAGTCCCTCCCACCCTCAGAATCCACACCCGGCTGTGCAGGGAGCCCCTGGCCACCGGGATGCGCTTGACTCTCAGCCTTTGGGAAGTCAGGGTGTTTGGTGGCACCTGGCTCAACCCCTCGGTAAGGAAGTAATCCCTCCGGAATCTAAGGCTTGACGAGTGTGAATTTTTTAATTCGCATTCAGATAAATTACCCGCGTGTGTGTATGTGTGTCATAACTCTGTTAACAGAGGAGCGGTGTCTTATGTGCAGTGGAGAAGGGCAGAGAGCCCAGGGGACACCCCTCGCCCCAGGAGCCACAGGGAACCCAGAGCCGTGGACGTGGGTGTCGCCTTCTGGTCCTGGACGCCCCTGGGAGGGCCCGGGTCCCCATGGGACCTTCCGGCTCCAGTCCCCACACGGGGGTCCTAACGCTATGGGGCACCCGCCTCAAAGCCCGTTTTCGTACCCGCGGTCTCGCGTGGGACCGTCCTGCCACGAGGGATGTGGAAGCGATGGGAAGTGCTCTTTGTCATTTCAGTGTCAACACGTGGCACGTTTCCTGCCACCCGTGTGTTTCCCTTAGTGGGAGATGGACGTTTTCCAGGAAGCCTGATGCAGCACCTTAGAGCGCTGAGCGCTGTCCCCCCTCTGACCTCAGGGCACTGCCACTGTGCTGAGAGAGGCCCCTCGCCGCCGTTAGACCCGCGGGGCTTCTGGGTGAGACCCCCTCAAGGGGCGCTGTCCTCTGGAAAGCACCCGGCGCCCACGGGGGGAGCACGGTAATAACCCTAGCCGCGAAGCCTGGGGGGCCCCGGGTTCTGAGTAATGGAATTTGGGGTTTGCGCACAAGCATTTATGTTTGGTGCCAGAGGTGGACTTTACCCACTGCCATTCTGTGCCTGCCAGCGTGGGGGGCGCTGGCTGCCCAGCGCCTCTGGTGACAGGCACCCACGTGGCGGCCACCCATGTGGGCTCGCATGAGAACACTGGGCCCAGGCTCCGGGGCGAGTGCCTGAGCAAGGCCTGTGGCTCGAGGGGCCACGCCGCCCCTGCCCTGACCCTCCTTCCTCCAGGGTCCCTGTCCATCTGTCCTGCTGGGGCCCCGCCAGACACCCCTGGCTTGGAGAGGGACCCGAGAGGGGGACCTCAGGAAACCTCGACTGTCCTGGCCCAGAGGGGGCTTCAGTGGGTCACTCCCACCCCGCCTCCCCGGCTTTATCTCCCCGAAGCCTGCTGGTGCCCGAATTGCTAGGGATGGCTGTGCTGTGCCCCCAGGAGCCAGAGGGACCAAGCCCTGGGCCGGGTGATGAGCCCCTGAAAAGTGGGCTTGACAGCCGTGCCAGTTAGAAATTTTCACGTTTGTGTGCTTTGGTCCAGTTTGTAAAGATTTGTTTTTGTTTTGAGAGAGACCAAGAGAGAGAGACAGAGCATGAGCAGGGGAGGGGTAGACAGAGAGGGAGACACAGAATCCGAAGCAGCTCCAGGCTCTGAGCCGTCAGCACAGCGCCCGGCGCGGGGCTTGAGCCCGTGAACCGTGAGATCGTGTCCATAGCTGAAGTCGGACGCTCAGCCGCCTGAGCCCCCAGGCGCCCCCACTTCTACGAGCTCTAACTCTCGGCCTCCTGCCGACGCTGGGCGGCTCGTCTGGCTTCTCCGAGTTCTTTGTCGGCCCTGAGCGCGCACACGCTCGGTGGCTTCCGGTGCCAAGCAGCTCTCCAGCCGCCGTCCGCCGTGCTGCCCCGTGGGCTTCCCGCTCCTGGGAAACGTGTCTTCCTTGGCGCACACCCGCCCCGGAACCACCTGTGTTCACGGTGGTTTCTTCTTGTTCCACTGGAACGAGTTTGCACAGCACGAGGTGACCAGCAGGACGCGGCTCGCAGAGGATCCTCTTAGACCGGAGGGAGGGACCGCCTCCGGGGGATGTGGGTCGGCGGTGCTGCTGCTGTGTGGACAAGTCGGGGGCCCCAGGGTGCTTGCATGTCTGGGGGCGGGCGGCTGAGGGAAACAGGACACTTTGCAGGAGGGCCTCTGTGTGCTGGGGCGGCCGCACGGGACGCGGGTCCTGGCTGTCGGGTGCCCGGGTCGGTTTCCCTCCGAGGCCGTGGCATCAGGAGGGTGGGGTCCTGGGTAAATGTTCCGCTCCGGATCTGCCTCAGGCGCCTGTCAGTGGGCTATGAGCAAATGTCACCTTAGCTGCCATTTCCTTCCGCGTCTGTCCCTACGCTGCTTGGAGGGGAGGCGGGTCCGGGGCCCCGGGAAACAAGCCTGGGGGTTTCTGGAGACGAGGCTGTTGGCAGGGCTGCCTTGTCTCCTGGTGACTCACTACGATACTCGTGAACTGATGGAGACGCACGTCCCGCTGGCTGTGATCTGTGACCGCTGTTGCTTAGCCGTGTGTTTTTCCTTAGCTTTAGGGCCGGGAGCGCGTGAAGAAGGTCACCCATGTCACCTATCCTGCGGGGGGCGGGGAGGAGGTGCTAGCCTGTGCCTCGCCCTTGGCCCGCCCCACGTCCCTCCCCAAGGCCGGGTCCCCGGGTCGCCCTGTGGGGGCTCCTCGCCGGGTGGCCAGGGGCGGCTGACGGGTGCCCTCCTCTCTCGCAGGGCCCTGGGCGTTTCCGTCACCGACTACACGTATGATGACTGCCAGCTGGCCCTGGCGGAGGGACAGCTGCGTCTCCCCTCGGACACCTGCCTCCTTGAATTCGCCAGGCTGGTGAGGGCCCTGGGGTGAGTCCGCTGCTGCTCACTGGAGCCGTCGTCTGGACCGGCGCTCCCTCGGGCGCCGGGGCCTGTTTGACGAGGCTCGTGTGGTTTGCTCAGCAACGGGGAGAGCTCTGAAGAGCACTGCTCAGATGCTGCTTCCGAACAAGGACGCTTCCGGAAACTTCTGTCAGGCCCTCCCAGGGGGCCCCACCCCGCAGTTGGTGGTGACCGGGCTGGAGGTGGCCATGGACGCTGAGGGTCCGCTGGGGCCGTCAAGGAGATAAAAGAGCTTGTTTTCAGGTTTGGGGGCGTTTCCCAAGTACCCACTCAGTCCACATAGACGTGCCCACGGCACCCAGTGCTCAGCAGCGGTGTCTGTGGGCGCCCCCAGGAGGACCGTCCCTGCCCGAGGCAGAGTCCCCACACCGGGCGGGGCCTCGTTCCTGTGGACTCAGAGGCAGAATTATTAGAACACCTTTTTCCTGAAAACGAACTTCCCTCTCATCTCACAAGCAATTTTAACACTTTTTTGAGTTTTCTACCAGTTTGTCTCCTGCTCTCAGCGTTCTGTGATTTTATTGAAAAATGTCTTTCCTCCTCTTTGTGTGTAGGTTGAAACCAGAAACACTGGAGAAAGATCTGGATAAGTTTTCCGACAGCGCCAGGCTGCAGAGGGGAGGCAGGATGGGGCTCCCCGAGTTCGCCGAGTACCTGGGCGTCCCCGTGTCGGACACTCTGCAGGACATGTTCTCCCTGTTTGATGAGGTGGGACGGCTTCCCGCCAGGGCTCTTCCGCTTGCGCTGCTTTGTCGCAACAGAAGCATCTCGGGGGTCGAGGATGTGGAGCGGGAGCGCCCTCCGCCCTCCGCGCCCGGCCGCCCGGGACCTCTGTGGTCTCTCGTGCTGCTAATGCACAGAGAATTTGGGGTGTTTGCTGATAAACAGCCCTGTGGTTTGGGGTTTTAGGTGGGATAGAACCTAGCGACATCAGTGGTCACGACGGGCCCCCGCCTCCATGGCGACGTGACACGCTCGTGTGAACAGCGTAGCCTGCTTTCTGTGTGGCCCGCGATGGAGCCAGGAGCGCGGGGCTGGGGCGCATCGGAGGCGCACGCGCTCTGGGGGTCTTGCCAACGCGCCCTGCCCTGGCCCCGTGTGCTCCCGCCACAGCGGCAGGCGGGCCAGAGGCAGGCCCCCCGCGGAGCAGCGTCCTGGCTGCGCGGTCGTGTCGTCAGGGTCCCAGCCGCCAAGGCTGCCTCGTGCTGGCGCGCTCACAGCGACGTCGCGGTTGACACACAGTCGACCGCGCGTGCGTTCTGCAGGGATGCACGGAGCTGTCGGCGCGGCCCGTGGCTCGTAGGCTTTATGCCCCCGCGGGTGTGCAGCCGTCCTGTGGGGCGGACCCTCCCCGCTGCACACGAAGAACTTCACACCCAAAAGCTTAAGAGCCAGAAACACGCAGGTTGAGGGGCCTGATATGAGCCCACTGCCCAGTGCCCACGCTCACTCTGGGGCCACCCCACCCGGGCCACAGGCTTGGGGCCACCCCAGGGAAGCCTGGCCTTCCCTTCAGGGGGCACCCTGTGTCCTCAGGCCCCCACCCCTGCGCCAGAAATCTGTTGGCCCGCACAGCCTCCCTGTGCCCCGGCCTCCAGCTCCCCATCCGCCCCCACTCTGGCCCGGCCCACGCACCGTGGCGCCCGGTCACGTGCAGCAGCCTGGCCCGCGGCCTCCCGAGGACGTGCGGCGCAGAGTGCACGGAGCGTAGGGCAGGCCAGGCGCCCGGGGCCCCCCTTTCTTCTGCACACACACCTAGGTGCTTGGAGCACAGATGCGAGTCTTGCTTATCTGCTGGGGTTTTCTAGGAGAGCCACAGCAGGCAGCGGGCAGCGCGCTGCGTGAACCTTCTTGAGGAGATTCGCGTGCCAGCCTCATAGACTTTGAAAATTGATTGTAACGTCCTAAGCAGGCGTGAGCGAAATCACCTGGTAGAAGCCAGTTGGCTGTGAATGTTCTTCCAAAATACTCATTTCACGGAGCGCCTGGGTGGCTCGGTTGGTTAAGCGTCCAACTTCAGCTCATGGTCCGTGAGTCCGAGCCCCACGTCGGGCTCTGTGCCGACGGCTCAGAGCCGGGAGCTGCTTCAGACTCTGTGTCTCCTTCTCTCTCTGTCCCTCCCCTGCTCACACTTTTTCTCTCTCTCCTTAAAATAGGTAAACATTAAAATTTTTTTTTTAAATACTCATTTCATATAGGCAGATAATAGCACATCAGAATGGAACTAACCTTTCTTTCATTCTTAAAGTTTATCTTGAGAGAGTGTGTGCACATACAGGGGAGGAGCAGGGAGAGAGGGAGAGAGAGAATCCCAAGTGGGCTCTGTGCCGACCCGGGCCTCAGTCTCAGGAACCGTGAGACATGACCTGAGCCCAAGTGAGGAGTCGGACGTTAACTCACTGAGCCATCCAGATGCCCCTGATCTCTCAATCAGCACCCAGGGATTAGTGTTAAAACCCCAGCCTCCCCTCCCCCCACGTGCGGAGGGGCCGAGCTGTGCCCTGAGGGCGTGTCTCTTCCCCAGAGCGGAGACGGCACTCTGGACCCTCGGGAGTACGTGGTCGCCCTGTCTGTCGTCTGCCGGCCGGCCCGGACTCTGGACACCATCCAGCTGGCATTCAAGGTGAGTGTGGAGTTGATAGGAGGCTAATTTGTAGGGACCGTGAGACACGGTCACACAAGGCCTATCACCCGCTTTTGCTAATCCTCCTCATATGGGCAAACTTACACTGTGCCCAACTGCCATTTTCACATACGCTTCTTTAGGCCGCAGTTTCTAAAAAATGCCTAAAACATCCTCGAATTGACTTCCTCCTGTAGTTCGTAATCCATGCCCATCAGAGGGGTGTGTGTGGAGGAGGATCCTGGGGAGTTCAGGGCGCCTGGACGGGCTGCTGGCTGCCCCACACCCGGCCCGCTCTCCCAGCCGCTGGGCTCGGTGCGAAGCAGCTGCCTGCCCGGAGCTGAGCCATCCGCCACCCCCAGGGATTCTGAGAAACACACACATTGGGGCCCAGGCTCCCCTGCACACTCACCTGGCCGGCCTCGCCGGGACACGGTCTGCCAGGATGGGGCTGGCGTCACTCACCAGAAACACGATTCTGTGGCTCTGAGAAGGAGTACCTGTTACAGATGCAACTTCTGTCAGCCAGGCTCTCGAGAGCCTGATGTGTAAGGCCGGCCGCTGCTTGTATCTCCGTGCTTGGAGGACACCCTTCTCTCGTTTGTGACCCCAGCACACTCTCTCCGGGTGCGGGAACCCTCAGTGCAAGGTAGCTGATGTGGATCACGCCGTGGGAATTCGCTGGGTGACCGGGCGTGTGGTGGGCCCTGTCCAGGATGACGGGCCTGTCAGGACCCAGCGCATGACTGTCCCCCAGGCGGCAGCGCGGAGGCCCTGCCAGAGGGAAGGGGGTGGAGCCCGGGGAAGGACAGCCAGCGCAGCCGCAGGTGACCAGCACTGGGGCGCTCACTGCCGATGACCGCGGGGCCAGCCCCACAGCGACTCTGGGTCACTGGCCGGAGCCTAAGGAGCTGTTGGGAAGGGCCCGCGGGTCAGCCTCCCGTCCGGGTGCGGCAAGGAGGTGGCACGTTCATCTCATTGAGCCCTGCCCCCGAAGGCCCCTCCTGTGAGGGCCGGGCACGCCAGGCCCCCGTGCTCCCGGGGGCGGGTTCGGGGTGTGAGTCGAGTTCTGGCCTCTGAGAATCACGGGCTCAGGGCCTCTGCGCAGCTGGGGACCACAGGTGACGCCAGCCTCTTCCCGCAGATGTACGGGTCCCAGGACGGCAGCATCGATGAAGGCGCCCTGTCCAGCACCCTCAAGACCGCTTTAGGAGTGGCCGAGCTCGGCGTGAGCGGCCTCTTCCGGGCCATCGACCAGGAGGGCACGGGGAGGATCACGTTTGGTGGGTGGCCTGGGCACTCGGGGGGCCCCGCCCACTGCCGCCGGGAGGGGTGGGGGCTTGGGTCATCACTTTTGGCCACGTAAAGTGGGACAGCCAAGAGCCCGAGGGGCGCAGACCTGAAAGCCACGCACGGGGAGGGGAGGGGGGACAGGAGGACCCCCAGGAGGCAGCTCCTTCCGGGCGCCGGGCGGCGTGCGCCTTCAGGAATGAGCGTGTTCTCGCCGAAATCAGTAGATGTTTGCTCAGGAAAGGTCGTTGCTCATGTCTTGTTTGGACGTGTTTTTAAAATTGCGTTCAAATGTCAGAGTGTGTATTAGTTTAGTGTGTGTGCGTGTGTGTGTTGATTTAGCGTGTGGTGTATATTATGTGGTTGTTTGTGTGTGTTGGTTGGCTGAGTGGTGTGTGTGATGGTTTAGTGAGTGTGGTGTGTGCACGTGTGTTGGTGGAGTGTGGTGTGTGTGGGTTTAGTGAGTGTGTGGTGTGTGTGTGTGTGTGTGTGGCTCCGCACGAAGAGCCGGCGGTGGTGACCTGCATGCTGAGCGCCCCCCCCACCGTGTCGTCAGAGGGCAGCGGCACCGGCCTGGCTCCCAAGGCTCCGGCCCCGCGGGCTCCACCCCAGACCGGGTCCCAGGCCTGTTAGTAGATGCAGGGGCTCAGAGCCGCTCAGGTGACCGGCGGGGAGGGTGACCCTGGGCTCTCCGGGTGTAGACGAGTCAGTGCGTCAGGTCCTGGTGTGGACACGGTCCTGCCCCACACCAGCTCCTCGGGTGACCAGCGTGTCCCCCACACTTGCCGAGTGCCCAGAACACACTTTGCATCAAAGCTCACGTTCTCTGCAGACGTCCCCAAAGCAAGAAGCCAAAAGGGCCCTGAACTCTCAGGAGGTTCACGTGGTCCCCCTCCCTGCCCCCCACCCCTCCCCTCCCCCTCATGGATGCCAGCCCTCCCGGAAGGTGTGGGGGGTGAGGTAGTTGGTCGCCCCCTGTAACCAGACGCCTCTGTCTCCCCAGCTGACTTCCGCAGGTTTGCAGAGTTGGTCCCTGACTTCGCCGAGGGCTACCTGTACCCCACCCAGCCGCGTCCCTGCAGCCGCCCGCCCACGCCCCCGGCCCCGGCCCCCAATGGCTTCTGTGCTGACTTCAGCCCTGAAACCTCCGGCGCTGGGAGGACACCTCTCCGTGAGAAACTGGACTAGGTGGCGGCCTCTCGGCGGCCCCGTCACCAGCCGCCTCCACACGGCCATGAGCCCGCCGGGCCTCACCCCCCTACCTGTGCCGCGCGCACACTGGCCTCAGGCCCATCCACGCGACTCTGGGTCGCTCCCACCCTGCTCCTGCGTGGACAGCCCTGCGTGCGGGAGGCCGCGTGGCCCGGGGGGCGAGGGGGCCGTCCCGCTCCGCCGGGTGTGGCCGCATCGCCCGGACCGCCCTGGGTCACGTCCCGGCTCGGGTGGCCGCTCGCCCCGGCGGACGGGCCTCCATGTGCACACGCGACACAGGCCTGAGACCAGGGCGCGTCCGGAGCGTTTCCATCCCAGCACAGACCCCGCTGACCTCGGGGGGGTCGCAGCCTGGCAGGGCCGCGTCTCATTTTTAAATGTTTCTATATTTGTGGGAGCTCGTGAGTGTTTTATAAACTTCATTTAGATACTTCAGGAAGCACTCAGCATTTTTTTAAAAAAAAACAAACAAACTTGTTTTCTACTTCATTTTTCCTTTCAGGGCCAGAGAATATTTATTTATGGGCCCTTTTTTGATAGAACCTGAGGCCGTGTGGGGCTTTGGCCCGCGTCTCTTTCTGGCCTCTCTGCCGGGTGCGCCCCGTGTCTGGGTTCCCCGCACGCAGCGCCGGGTCTGCCTCTTTAACCCTTCCCACACCCCCCTTCGCTACAAGTGTTCCCAGCCTGGTACCCGCCTGGCGTGAAGGGGTCGGCTTCACAGCAGCCCAGGCGGGGGCACCAGGGAGGCGGGCTGGGTGGCCGGGAGGCGACGGGGGTGGGGCCACGCCGGGGCACACGGGCCTGGACCTGCTGGGGGCTGACCCTCGGCCCTGCTCCCGGGGCTGAGCCCCGTGTGTGCAGGGAGAGCAGCTGCGGGGGAAGGGAGCCGTGTGCAGACCTCGGGGAGCCGGTGACGGCGGGGCCGGCCCGTGCTGAAAGCAGGAGGGCGGCGGGATGGCGCTCGGGCCCCCGGTGAGTCCGAGGGGAGGACCCCGGCCTCCAGACTAAGGAAAGAGACGGTTCCGTCGCCTCCCGTTCTGAGCTCGGCCCGGTGATCACTCCCTGTTCACACAGCTGGAGACCTGTCCGTAAAGCACAATGAAAACCGCGGTCTCCACTGCGTCTATGAGGCAGAGCCTCTGGGTTTGCCTGGGGGAAAGTTCTGAGTTTCTAAACGAGTTGGATTTTGTATTTGGGCATCTGCATGGGAAGTGACGGCCGAGCCCAGAAGGCCAGGAGCACGTGTTTAGTAACCTCCCCAGGAGTTCACGGTGCGCGTTTCCATCCGTGGCCCCGCCGTCGTTGAGGGAAGAGCCCCCAGCCTCGGCGGTGCACCCCCCCCCCCCCGCGCCGGCGCGGCACTGCCCGCCGGTGCCCACGGTAGCCAGACGTGGCGCGGGGCTCACGGCCATCCGTTCTGTGACTGTAGACCGTAGCGGTTCGTTTTTAAAGACAAAACCTACAAGGGACCAACGAAGGAGGTGACCGAACGAAGATACTCTGGGGGAAGCCCCTCCGCGTCTGCGCATGAAGGGCTGCGTGACTGGGGCGCCGCCGCGCACCTTCAGGAAGAAGCCTCTGATGACAGACCCGGGTGGATGTTTGCTCCTCCTGGTCCCCTCCGCTCCGTGCGGCCTCGCGCCCGCGGGCGCTCCCAGGTGTGGGTGTGGACAGAGCTCTCTGGGAGGCGGGGGCAGGCGAGGGGGCCCCGCGGGGACCGGGGTCCAGGGCGGGCGCCAGGGAGCAGCTCTGGGTGTCCTGCGGAACGAATAAAGTGTAAAGTCTTCTGTACCCAAGGACGTGCGTGTCGTGTGTGTCTCTCCGGGAAGCAGGCGGCTCCGGGGGCTCCGGGGACATCTGGGAAACACCGCTGCTGGAGCTCCGTAGCAGCCGCCCCCCGATGGCGGGGACGTGGCAGCGCCAGGGCAGCGGCTGACACCTCAGCGTGGGGCGCTTTCTAGAATTTCCCACACTCACCTTGAACACGCTTGGTGAAGCAGAGACAGAAGGGAGCAGGCGTTCGGTCCGCTTGCGAGGCCGTCAAGGGCTCAGAGCCGGAAGAAGAGAAATAGGGGGAATTAGGACAGTCCCCAGAAGTAGACGCAGCAGGATGGCTAGGTGGCCGCTCGCTGCACGGGCGGGAGGACACACCACGTCCTCTCAGAGAAGCCGGTCGCCCTGAGGCGCAGGCTGGGGGAGGGTGCGCCCCAACGCAGCATTCATTCACCTGTGAGACGGTTTTTGCTTCTTTGTGCTTGTATTTGCCCCGTTTATCGTCATACCCGGTGTTGCCCCTGAAAGGGTCAAAGTCACAGTCAGAGCTGGGGGCCTCCTGTGGGAGGGAAGGCGGCGGCCGCTACGGGCTGTGGGTGGCGTGGGAACAGCGGGCGGGGGCGCCCACGTCCCAGCTGGGCCCGGGCCTGACGGGGCCGCGCGCCCCCGGGAAGGCTCCACGGGGGGCCGGGAGCAGAAGCTGCGCCCCAGGAGCGCGCCAGGCCCTGGCCCGTGGCGGGCGGAGCGCTCGAGGGGCACTGCCCATCCTCCGCGCGCGCCCACGTCCAGGGTGCCGCCCCCCGACTCACGCTCTGCACACGTGCTTCACCTTCCCCCCCAGACCCTACCTGCCCGCGGTCCGCACGGTCACACACCCCAGATGTCGTCTGGCAGCAAACAGCGCGCACCGGCCACTGCTCACGTTCCCACACAACAGGGGGAGCCCACCCAGTGGGGGAAGTGCGCTCTCACGTGCTCACGCCGTGCACACGCCATGCACACACCAGGCCAGGAAGGCATCTGTGTGGCCATCACCAGCCTCGCCTCACAGCGGCGTGGGGGCCTCCCCCCCGCACTCAGGGCCCTGGCCAGTGCGCGGGATGTGAGGGCCCGTACCTGGCAGAGCATTTCCATCCCAAGGTGTCTGGCACCTTCATCAGCCCCAATCTCAGTGGGGAAGGCGCCCAGGGGTGGGCCGGCACCCCTCCCCTCCCCACATTCGACAGCTTCCAGGACCCTCCCCGACCTGAGGGCCCCAGGAGGCTGAGCTGCGGCGCGGGGTCATCTGTCCCCACCGGGACTGTCCCGTCCTTGTGAACCGTGACCTCAAAACAGCGCAAAGCTGCAAAGAGAAGCGGTCAGGGGTGACCGGCTCCTGGTAAGGAGGGCAGGCGGCCCAGACGCAGGGTCGGCTGGCAGGTCCTCACGCCTCTCCCGGGTCAGGCCGCTCGCAGACCCCGCAGTGTCGGGGCGGCGAGTCTCCACAGAGACCGCACTCGCGGCTCCGGCTTCACGGGCGAGGGAGCCCCGTGCGGCGGGTCCCGCGGGGAGGTCCGTCTGGAGGGACCCGCCAAGAGACGACCGCGCCAGCCGCCCAGCCGTAACTGCCAGGTGTCAGCAGAGCCGCTGCCGGGCCCGAGCCGCAGGCAGCCCAGTCACAGGTGCAGCCCCGAGCCCGGGGTCCCTGGTGCTTCAGAGCCCCTTCCGCTTCCAGCCAGGCCAGCTCCTTCCGTGCGGGGGGGGGGGCAAGAGCGGGGTGCAAGCGCACACCGGGCTTGCTTTGGTAAAGCACCCCCACCCGCAGTGTCACACACGACGGGCCGTGGGGAAGGGAGCACCGCGTTAAGTGTGCAGACGGTGCTGGCAGAGGCGCCCAGGGCAGAGAAGACAAATCGTCCCTAGAAGGAGCGTATTAAAATGAGGACAGCCCCCCCCCCCAGGTGAGGGAGGATCCAGGGTGGCCCAGCAGCACCTCGGGGCTACGTCCTGGGCCTGCTCTGTCAAGGGGGAGCCAGTGTGACCACGTCATCCTGGGTGGGGGGGGGCTCCCTGCTGAGCAGCTCTGCCTCATCTCAGCCCCCTCCAGGGCCGCCCTGTGCACGTGTGCACACGCTGCGCCAGCCCGGAGAAGAGGCAGCCGACGTCCGCCCCGTGTGCCCTGCCCTGGACCCAGTTCGGAGACCAGACCCTTCAGGAAAAGTGTCCACGAGAAAAGAGCAGCGTGTGGTCCTGGCGACGCACGGGCCAAAACCAGAGGGAGACATTCGGGTCCTCTCACTCATGACTGAGTCCTGGAACGGAGAAGGCTAGGGCAAAAAACATTACGGGACAAAATAACAGCCAGGATTCTTCCAAATCTGTAAACTCAGGCATCCGAGAAACGCAGTGGGCCACAAGCAGAGTCACTGTAAGACAATACAGCAAGTCGCACTGTAAGAAACGAACCAAACTCTGAGAGCCACCTGCAGAGAGACCATTGTCCCCGCAGCCAGAGAAAGGAGACCTCACGGCCTGCTCGTGCAGGCCAGCTCTGCGCAGGGTCAGTGTCTGTCGTAAGCCCCCAAAGGAACAATGATGTAGAACTGAGAAGCCAGTAGCAGAAATAAAGTATATTTCTAAATATATTTTATCTAAACTAAGCAGGAAAGTGAGAAAAAGGAACAAAGGGCAGACGATACAAACAGAAAACAAATAGCAAGTCCAACCATACTAGGAATCATAGCAAATATAGACTAAAACACTCCCAAATAAGTTGACAGACCAAATTTTTTAAAAACCTAACTATTGCTATTTAAAGGCATGTTGAAAAGGTTTAACTGGGAGATACACACAACGTGCAAACATAACCATAGGGGAGTCCGTGTGGTCAGACTGCAGTCCCCTTACGTGTGGAGGCGAGGGGTCACCTTCATGACCATCAAGGGCCCCATGCAGCTGGAATACACAATGGCCCTAAAGGTATATGTACCTACTGACGTGGCTTAAAATATACTTAGCAAACACTGGCCGAGTTAAAAGGAGAGAAAGAAATCAGCAAATACAGTTGGAGACGTTAACACAGCTCTCTCAGGAATCAATAGCACCACCAGGGAAAGAGACATAATTATGTAGGAAATTTGAACAACCCCATTTACCAAATTGACTTAATTGCCCTTTCAAGTGCTCAAGCGCGCATGAAGCAGGGGACAAAATAGAGAAGATGCTCGCGAGAAAAAGCATCTCCATAAACTTCCAAGTCGCTGCATCGCTCAGTCTGTGCCCTCGTGAGACCGAAGCTACAGAGCTCGGGTTCTGCCCCGGCTGCGGCGCAGCCCGCCTGAGCGCACCCCACTGTTCCCCGGGGCGCTGAGCGGGGCTTCTACCCGAACGCGGGGTCCGTCCCTGCCCTGCAACACTGCCAAGGGCTGGCTGGGTTCTGACTCATTCTTCTACACTTAATAGAAGTTAACAAGTCCACAATGTTGCTTCTAGTGAAGACGGAGAAACCGAGGCTGCCTTTACCCCATCGTGGAACAAGCCGTGGCGTGGGTGAAGACGCCTCAGCAGAGAGGAAGGATCAGCCCTGGACAAAACACTGCTCTGATCCAGCCAGACAAAGCTTAAAAGCAAGACCTGGAAGGGGAAAGGGAGAGAGGCAAACCATGAGAGACTCTTGAATGCTGACAAAAACTGAGGACTGATGGATGTGGGGGGGAGGGGGGGATGGGCATGGAGGAGAACACTTGTGGGGATGAGCACTGAGTGTTATGTGGAAACTAATTTGACAATAAACTATTTGTAAAAAAATAAAAAATAAAAAATAAATAAAAAATAAATAAATAAATAAAATCAAGACCTGGAAGAATGACCAGGCTGTTTACAAGTGACTTACCTGTAGCCCCAGTAAAATTCCAGAATATTCTCAGGGATGCAAAATCGTCCGGCACCCAACAGTAAAATTCACAGTGCCTGGCATCCAATCAGAAATCACCAGGATGCAAGAAAGCAGCAAAGAGCTCTTGCATCAACAGAACCGGCCCTATTAGTGACTCAGGTGACTGGATGTGTGGACCAGGAACAGCCATATCACCTGCTCAGAAACCTTGAGGAGCCAACATGCAACATGTTCAGTAGAAAAATAAAATATCTTTTAAAAGACACAAATCTAAATCCTAGAGATGAAAACGACAGTGTTCGAGATGCAAATGCTGGATTGGCGTTTAGGATGGACTCGACACGGCAGAAGACACAGTAAGTGAACTTGAAGATAAAGCCGAATGAAGAGCTCAAAACAAAATACAGAAAAAAGAAAGAATTGAACTTCGCATCAGTGAGCAGTGAGAGCTCAAGCTGCCTGATGGGCAGGCCCTTGGGGTCCCCAAAGGAAAGGGGCAAAGAAAAATGTTTAAAGAAATAACTTTCCAATTCTGATTCAAACTACAAACCCATGGATCCAATTTGCTCAGTGAGCTCTAAGCACAGGAGCCATGATGGAAACTACATCAGGCACGTCATGATCACGTGCTAAAAATGGCAGAGCGAGGTCTTTAAGATAGGGAAAGAAACAGGGGCGCCTGGGTGGCTTAGTCGGTTAAGCGTCCGACTTTCTCTTTGGTCATGATCTCGCGGTTCGTGGGTTCGAGCCCCGCGTCGGGCTCTGCTGACTGCCAGCTCAGAGCCTGGAGCCTGTTTCAGTCTGTGACTCCCTCTCTCTCTGACCCTCCCCTGCACACACTGTCTCTCTCTCTCTCTCCTAGAAATAAATTAAAAAAAAAAAAAAAAAGATAGGGAAAGAAACAGAAGACCGCCAACCTAGGATTCTTTACTCAGCAAAAATATCCTTCAAAACAGAAGTAAATGCTTTTGGTTTTTTGAGAGAAAGAGAGAACAAGCGTGCGCGCGCGCGCACACACACACACACACACACACACACACACACACACACACACACACGGGTGAGCGGGGGAGGGGCAGAGGGAAAGAGAGACTCTCAAGCCCAACTCTAGGGGCTTGGATCCCAGGACTCTGGGATCATGACCTGAGC